CTGAGACCACAGTGTCCTGAGTCACCACCCACTTTTGGGGTTGGGGTGGAGTTGTCTGGACTGAGAGCTGGAGAGGGTGCTCTTCAGAGGAATATCAAGGATGCTGCCGGAGGGGCCCACTTAGATAAGATGGCCCAGGGGCTCCTGAGACGAGGGCTGGAGTGCACTTCATTGGCACGGGGGACGGTCCCAGAAGACACTGAGAGTGGGGAAGTGAAGGAGGAGGGAAAGAAGCCAGTGAGGTGTGTCCATGAGCGGGGGGACAGGGGCTCCGTCTCTCTGGGACCTCTGGGAGGCTGCTGACCGTGTGTCAGAGCTGCCCCCCACATTCCCTGAGAGTGAGGACCCGGGTGTTCATCCCCCGATTCCAATCATCGCTGCTGAGGCCTGCCCTTGTGGGCATCAACTCTCATACACCCTCTGCTCAGGTGAAGCTGGCCGCTGTGGCCAGAGAATGCCTCGGGCAGGGTCTCCGGTGCCGGCAGCGAGAAGCTGGGACTGGAAAGTGGGAGAGGATATGGGCGGGGCATCGACAGTGTCTGCTGCAGAGGGAAAAACAGGCCATGGTGCCAACCAGCTGTTAGGACAGGGGCTCATTTTGGTCTGGGTCCTTCTCTCAAGGAAAGGAGGCCATCGGTGCCGCCTCTGGGTAGAGTCCCAGAGAAGAAGTAAAGCAGAGGGGGGAAGGGACAGGCTGTGGAGTAGGGCAGGTATGCAGGGTCATCCAGTGTTCTCTTGCTGGCTGAGACCTTGGGCAAGTTACTTAACCTCTCTGAGCCTCAATTTCCTCATCTATAAAATGAGAATATATAGGGTTGTTTGAAAATTAAATAACTGATTATATAGCACTGGGCACATGGTAATCAAAGAGTTGGTTCAACTGATCTTTGACAAAGGAACAAAGACAATTTGATGGAGAAAGGACAGTCTTTTCAACAAATGGGGCTGGAACAACTGCACATCCATTTGAGAAAAGAGAAAGAAAATAAAGAAAAAAAGAATCTAGACATAGACCTCTACCTTTCACAAAAATAACTCTAAATAGACCTAGACCTAAATGTACAATGAAAAACTATAAAATTTCTAGAAGATACCATAGAAGAAAATCTAGGATCTAAGTTTAACAATGAGTTTTTAGATCAACATTTAAAGCATGATCCATAAAAGAAAAACTTTGTTAAGTTGGACTTTATTAAAATTTAAAACTTCTGCTCAAAAAAACAACAACACTTAAGATCATTAAAAACTAAGCCAAAGACTTGGAGAAATATCTTTGCAAAACACATATCCAGTAAAGGATTTATATCCAAACTATACAAAGAATTTTTAAAACTCAACAAGAAGATAGCAACCCAATTTTAAAATGGGCAAAAGATCTCAAAAGGCTATATATATATATATATATATATATATATATATATATGCACACAGATGACCAATAAGCACATGGAAAGATACTTAACTAATATGGCTTTTAGGAAATTGCAAATTAAAACAATCATGAGATGCATATCTACTAGATGGGCTAGCATTTCAAAAACTGACAGTACCAAATGCTGGCGAGAATGCAAAGCAATGAGGACTCTTGCTCATTGCAGGTGGGAATGCAAATAGTGCAGCCACTATGCAATACAGCTTGGTTTTTAAAATATATATTTTTATTTATTTTAGAGAGAGAGAAAGGGAGAGGGATAGAGAAATAGAAACATTGATGAGAGAGAAACATTGACAGGCTGCCTCCTGCACGCCCCCTACCAGGGATGGAGCCCACAACCCAGGCATGTGCCCTGAGTGGGAATCAAACTGGTGACCTCTTGGTTCATGGGCCGATGTTCAACCACTGAGCCACCTGACCAGGCCAGTTTGGGTTTCTTGCGAAACTAAACATATTTCTACCTTAAGATCCCGCAATCACACTTGGTATTTATTCAAAGGAGTTGAAAATATGCCCACACAGAAACATGCACATGAGTGTTTATAGCAGCTTTATTTGTAATTGCAAAAACTGAAAGCCCCCCAACCGGTTTGGCTCAGTGGATAGAGCGTCGGCCTGCGGACTGAAGGGTCCCAGGTTGGATTCCGGTCAAGGGCATGTACCTTGGTTGCAGGCACATCCCCAGCAGGAGGTGTGCAGGAGGCAGCTGATCAATGTTTCTCTCTGATCGATGTTTCTAACTCTCTATCCCTCTCCCTTCCTCTCTGTAAAAAATCAATAAAATATATATATTTTTTAAACTGAAAGCCAGCAAGGAGTCCTTTAGGTGTGACTGGACACAGAATCTGGTGCTCCCAGACAAGGGAATATTACTCAGCACTGAAGAGAAATGAGGTACCAAGTCACTAAAAGACATGGAGGAATCCGAAACGCATATCACGAAGACTTAGCGACTAAGTGAAAGAAACCAGTCTTAAGAGGCTGTACTGTCTGATTTCAACTATATGACATTCTGAAAAAGGCAGAACTCCAGAGACAATAAAAAGACCAGTGACGTCTAGGATTCCGGGGGAGGGGGATGAGTAAGTGAAACCAGGCTGACACGCTACCACCTAGCCACACGGGTCAGGGCTAAAATTAATTTTATTACTTTGTTAAAACCTGAAGGATAGGCTTAAAAACGAGTGAGTGTGTTGTGAAGTAGTCTGAGCTGAGCTTGTATTGAGGCAACACTGGGAAGCCCCTGGATTGCGGGCCTGAGGTTTTATAATTTTGAGGCCTCCCGGCCGGTCTCCAGGCCTGACCCAGAGCAGCCCCTGATCCAGTGTGGACAGCTTGGGCGGGACTGTGTGTGAGAAGACAGACTTCACGTCTGTTCTTTCTCGTGGGCCTCAGGACATTGCCCTGTTTTCTTTAACTCTTTGTTTTGACATAATTTCAGACTCACAGAAAAATTGCAAGGAAAGTACAAAGAATTCCTGTATCCCCTTCCCCCAGCTTTCCCAATGCCTTCACACCCGACCACACCAGCGCGATCCTTTCCTGTCTCTTCACAGCCCAGCACACAGGCTGAAGGGCGGGCTCCGGCCTGGCCTCCTTCTCATCGTCAAGCTGATGAGAACCACAGTGAACACGATTGAGCGCCTCGTTCGTGCCAGGCTCTGTCCCCGGCACCTTTCACCTAGTTCACCCCTCCACCCTCACAGCCCTCGGAGTGGGGTCCCTCGCCACCCCGCCCTGCAGAGGTGAAAGCTGGGGCTCAGGGACCGGTGCAGGTGCAGGCCTGGGGGCAAGCGAGGAAAGAGCAAAGAATGACTTAACGATGCAGAAAGCTGGTGGGAGCCCAGTTTGGGGCCGTCAGCCCAGACCACACATTCCCCAAGTGAGACTTCTGCTGTCGGGTGCAGATGAGACTGGCGCAAACTCAGAGCCAGCAGGACTGGAGGAAAGAAGGCCTGCTCCTCACAGAGGGAAGCGTGGCGTTCATCCTGAACTGCCGGGGCTCAAACACTGACCATGTAGGCATGCGAGTGTGAGTGAGTGAGTGTGACTGCGGTGTGGGAGGGCGCATGAGTCCTCAGCATTTGTCACAGGTTAGGCACACGGTAGGATCAAGAGAGAATGAGTGTGTGAATAATGAGGAAAGAGAACTGAAGTACTCCCCCCCCCCACCCCCGCCACCCCCGCAAGCCAACCCTTCCTCACCAGAGGCTTTGCTGCTTCCCTGGTTCTCCTTCCACCACAGAACCCCTTGGGCTGCCCTTGACTCCCAGGAGTTTGCCTCCACTCTCAGACCAGGCGCTCCTTGAGGGCAAGGTGGGGTCAGCATTCTCTCTGGGTCCCCAGCACTGCTGGGCCTGCGTCTGCCCATCTCCGACCTCCCCTCCTTCTGCGCTCCCCTCCTCAAGGCTCTTCAGCCAATCTGGCCTTCAGGTCATCCCTGTAACATGCTAAGTTGGTTCCCACCCCAGGGCCTTTGCACTTGCTGCTCTCTCTCCCTAAACTAGTCTTCCCCCCTGTCCTCTTCAGGGTCTCAGCTCCAATGCCTACCCTTAAGGATATGTGTAAGCCGCCAGCCCCCCTGGCCTAATAGGTCCCTCTTTTGCTTTCTTCTTGGGGCCGCTTGTTCCCTGAAATCCTTTATCCATTTAGTGGTTTTCCCACCTTCTGGCTGCATCAGGGCTCTTATGTGGCCCAGTGGTTAGTGGCCTATGGAGCCTGGGTTCGAATGCCACACCCGCTGCGACTCTGAGCGAGCTTCCCTCAGGGTTCTGTGCCTCCGTTTGCCCGTCTATGAAATGGGTGGGAGTAACCGAGTTCCTCACTGGGCAGTTGTGAGCATTAACCGAGTTGATGCGGGCCCTGCGCACAGGGTGTCAGGGTACCAGCTGTTGAGAACTGTGTTTTACCGTCTAAATTTGCCCGGAGCCCGACATACAGCAGGCGCTCAGGCAACATGTGGGAGGGATGGGCACCCACTTGCAATTAGCAGTCCCTTGGGCTGCTGGGGAGACGAGAAGTAAAGGCGCTCAACTCTCAGCTCCCAACGCACTGCTCTCCTCGGGGGGGGTTAGGAAGGGTGCAAAAAGCGCAGGGGGGGACAGCC